CAACTCAATAGTAATCTACCAAAATAATATCTCACACAAATAGTGACACAATTCAATTTCATAACTGATCAATAACCTATCATAATTAATCAATATAATCTACCATATTTGATCACTAACCTATCATAACTGATCAATAACCTATCATAACTGATCAATAACCTATCATAAATGATCAATAACTTATCACAACTGATTCATAACCAAAATAAAATAATGTATCACACTTATTAATAATGTGACACAACTGATCAAATATCTGATCAATTACCTACATAATTGATCAATTACCTACATAAGTGATCAATAACCTATCATAACTGATTAATAACATATCACAACTGATCAATAACTTAACACAGCTGATCAATAGCTTACCACAACCTGTCTCTTATACACATCTAGATGTGTATAAGAGACAGTCTGTACTGCGTCTCTTGCCACAGCTAATGCAACTCTCTTTATGTCAATCACATTGACCCTAGGCAGGGGCGGATTTAGGGGGGGCCGGCCCGGCCCCGGCCCCCCCTTTTGGGAGGTAAAAAAAGAAAAAAGAAAGAAAAAAAAGGAGGAAAAAGAAAAAAATGATAGCCCAGAACGCCTCAAGTGTTATTTTCGGGCGTCTAGAACACAAAAATTTCGCGGGGGCATGCCCCCGGACCCCCTAGGACATTGTTGTCTCGATCGGCCCAAATTTCGGCCCCCCCTTTTGGACATCTCTGGATCCACCCCTGCTAGTCTCACTTACAACTGCAACTTAACTCTCATTCCCAGTTCGATTCAATCCCATGACAAGAAGTTAATATCTACAAACCTTTAGAATATCAATGACGGCTGTTCTACCCTCCTTGGCAAGCATAACCTGGTGTGGATACAACTGATGGAGAACCTTCTGAACAGACACATTTGGTACAGAATTCTACAAAACAATATTGAAAATACATGCTGACCTAGGACTATATAAACAAGTGCACATAAATTAGTTTCAATGATGTCATTCAAGTAACACATTTATGGATTTATCCATATTTATTTTGTGTTTTCTATATTTTTATGAATGAATAAAGACTGCGTATATAAAACAGATTCACAATTATTACAGGAGAAAAAAATAAGTAAATTTAACAATCATATTGATTTGTTTTATGTATTTTAATTTTTATAATTAATATTATGTTATACCAATATTTAATAGGATCATTTTTTTGTCGCTTCTACATGTAGCTAACCTAGGATGATCCATCTGAAGCTAGATAAGCAGATCCATTAATTTTTCAAATACGAGGCAAATCTATCAACATTCATACTAGGCTATTTCCACACAGAAGGTATAGCACAAATGAAAATTGCATCTTATCTTTAGAAGACTGGAAATTGGCTGAGGCTATGTTCAAACAGAACGACTTACACTAGCGTAACGTTAATCAAGTGGTGTGAACTTGTGCGCAGCGTAGCGAACACTGGTATTAACACGCAATCACTGGCATACAATAATCCAACAACAGACCCCTGATTAGCTTACGTCATTGAGTTACGACAGTCAATGATTTGAACTTGGTCAGTATTTGACCAATCACAATAAGCCTAGATGTAAACAGGAAATAAAATGCGTGATTGTGTATACAAATATTTTGCACAAATACTTACACAAGCGTTACATTATTTTCCCAGGCTGGACATCTCGCTAGTTACGCCATGGATTAACGTACGCCTGGTGTAAGATACTGTACACCTGGCATTATCTCCCAGGACTGAACATAGCCTCTGACAGAATTACTCTGATATCAATGCTGCTGTAATTCCTTTGAATGCTGCTGTCATCATGAGTGTCAATGATATTATTATTATGAGGTTGACATTTTATTAAATTTAATCATAATAAAATGATTCATTAAACAAGTTCAATCATCTTACTATTATCTTGATCATATTAACTAGACTATCCATTGGAAAGTCTGGAAGCCCTAATGAGTTAGACTCGTTGGATATCAAAGTTGTTGCGAAAGACAAGATCTTGGAAGCTCTGAAATAACAAAAAATAAAGCTTTGGTAGCGTGGCTGAAGATTTTTTAACATGCAATGGACAACATTGCACACAAGACCAATGATTTTAAATGCCTCTGCCAAAGTGGAAGATGGTGTGATGGAATAAATCCAGGGTTACATAGACAGAGATCACCATGGTTCAGGGTGCACACCGTGGTTACCACATAACTAAACTGCTCCTCAGAAAAAAAAACACAATTTACCATCGCCCTTACAGAGATAAGTGCAAGTAGGAAACAAATTAAAATAAGCACTACAGTATTTAAATATATACTCACAGTACGAGGGAAAAAATACTTTGTTCCACAACCGCAGGGATATTTAGAAATTAGTGATGGCCGTTTCTGGCCTATACAGTAATTCTAATACATAGTGCCATCCGTAATGAAGATAAAAAGAGCAGTAGCATAAGATTTAATTTCAAAACATTAAACTAAAAATAACATTGATTTCAAAGTGTATTTAACCAAGATAACAGGCCTTGGCCTAATTCTAATGTTTAGGGATTTTGGCTGGTAAAAAAGGTATTTCAAAGAGACAAACGTCATGATTTTGTTATCAGATTTAATGTTACAAACTCAACTTGATATTGTAATACTATTATGAAAACAGAAAGCTTTTAAGCTTTGTTTTAAAGAGGTTAAATATCAAAACATTAAACTAAAATAACATTGATTTCAGGGCATACTCACTGGTCAGATTTCAGGTTTGGTGACAATTCTTGTAATAACTCAAGGTGATCCTAAGGACAAAATAATACAGGTACTTAACAATATCACTAATTGAGTAAAAAAATATCAGTGTCACAATAGTGTCATACAGTAGTTGATCAATAACCTTTCACACTGATTGATACAGTACCACAGATAATCAATAACTTATCAGTAACTGATCAATAACTTGTCACAACAGATCAATACCTTATCACAACTCAGATCAATACCTTATCACAACTCAATAGTAATCTACCAAAATAATATCTCACACAAATAGTGACACAATTCAATTTCATAACTGATCAATAACCTATCATAATTAATCAATATAATCTACCATATTTGATCACTAACCTATCATAACTGATCAATAACCTATCATAACTGATCAATAACATATCATAAATGATCAATAACTTATCACAACTGATTCATAATCAAAATAAAATAATGTATCACACTTATTAATAATGTGACACAACTGATCAAATATCTGATCAATTACCTACATAATTGATCAATTACCTACATAAGTGATCAATAACCTATCATAACTGATTAATAACATATCACAACTGATCAATAACTTAACACAGCTGATCAATAGCTTACCACAACTGATCAATAACTTACCACAAATAATAAAAATAATTTACACACTTAATAATAATGTGACACAACTTTACAGTATCAAATTTTCATAACTGATCAATTACTACAGGTGATCCATAAGCTCATACCTTAAATGGTAAAGGGTTAACATCACGTGCTTGGAATCGTGAACGTAATGGAGGATCCAATGGGTTTCCATGGTAACGTGGAATAGGTAATCCTAGTGCTATGACACGAAAGTCTTCATTGACACGTACTAGCTTCCAAGATTTTAATTCTTCTTTGGTGTGGTCCTTAGAGGTGGAAAGAAATGTGGTTACGATAAAATTATTCGGAGGTTATTTTCATCTAACTATTCATTGATTACTTTATGTCAATATATCTTGCTCACATCATCTATCTACTATCACAATGAAAGTAGATAGTGTTAGTTCGTGATTACAAAAAAAACATGTTGAAATATGCGCTGTTGTTGTTACAAAATTTTTAGTGTGGTAAACAACACATGCTTATTTTGAGGCACATTGTAGTTGTAACGAACTAAACACACTCTACTTTTGTTTTAACCATATTCATAGAGGGTGACCCTTCCAGTGTATCCTAGAGGTTTGGTTGATATTCAGGGCCCTCTTTAAATGAAATATGTGATTTTTTATCAGCGAAGTCTTTTTATGAGCCTAGGGAGTGCAGTTATTTTTAGTTAAGATAAAAAGTCCTGAATTTGATTTGAACCCAGGACCCTGGCATTAGAATGGAAGAATCTCTAACCACTAACACTTTAATTATGTTAGTTCTTGATGTGAGCGATGATACATGGAATACTAATAATGTTCTTTATGCTTTTAGTTAAAAAATGTTTTGATTTGATCGTTTCCACACCCTCAATGTGAAACGGAGGAAGGTTAATGAAACTAAGATCTGGAAATATTACATCTTTAATTTAGCACCTTTAAATAATTTTCATATAAGCTGTAGGTATACCATCTACATATGCATCCCTAAAAAGTTGGCTAATGTAAGGTAATGGCTTTGGTCTTGTTGAGTAGCAGAGTATTGATGTAGAGGTGCAGCTAACTATGGCCCTAACATTGGCGCTGCTTTAAGATTCTTTGGGTTACTCCCCTAATGTACAATACCTTTACCTTATGATGAAGATTGAATTGACATCTTTCTTAAACCCACATCCCTCCTAAATATTAGTATCTTCCCATCAACCATTAATGTTATAGGATATTGTATACAAGTGGTAATAAAAAGGTGAAACATTCAATAAATGGTAACCAATATGTCAATAAAAAGTCATAGTAAAGTGGTGAACCTTCTGCAAAAAACTTGTTGAAAACTAGAACTATGATGTTCTATTGAATTCATTAAGCATCATAAACTAATTAATTGGCTGTTTTAAAGGCCTTGAACTGCTATTGTACTGCCAAGCTAGCTTAGCCAGACATGATACCTGGCAGCGAGGCTACCCTAGCCTAAGCCTTAGGCCAAGGCCTAGCTAGAGCTGACAGGTGAGTTCAAAACCATAAGTTTTCCCAAAATATAAAAGCATTACTCTAAAAATGATAAAAACTACATCTTATTTTTTCTGAATTGTGATTACAGTTGAGTAGAAAATAATACAACACCAACTTTTCACACAAAATTGAAGCAGAATAGACCATGCTGGCATCACAAATATGTTGTTGGGGACCAGCATACAACTGTTTTGAACTTTAATGCAATTACTGATTTGTTTTGTATAAAACACACTTCATGACTCTACTTACCTACCTTCAAATGTGAATAAGTTTCGACATAAAAATTCTCTTTAAAATTAACAACTCTGTTTACACACCTCTAAAAGTTTGTCATATCTGTCAGCAGCTACGAGAAAACGACCATCCTCTAATTGCATCTCACGATTCTCCAAAAGATTGTTTAAGACAGGCAAGACATTTCGTTCAGCTTTCTCTATACCTTCTAACACGAGGACACGTCCTTCAACAGCGGCACGGACTGCACACTACAAATTATAAAAAGCAAACACTGAAAACAATTTCTTTGTGGTATGTTTTCAAAAAAAGACTGATTGTATTTAGGCATGATTCTCAAAATTATTCAGATTAACTTGTTTTAGTCATTGTATTTTAATATTAGATTTTCATAGAGATTTGCAGATATTAGATTTGCATACAATTTACACATTAGATTTGCAAAAAAAAAAGACTGATTGTATTTAGGCATGATTCTCAAAATTATTCAGATTAACTTGTTTTAGTCATTGTATTTTAATATTAGATTTGCATAGAGATTTGCAGATATTAGATTTGCATACAATAGTGTCAGAGTGGTTGTGAGTTTCATTTACCATTGACCTTACTATAGCATTGTCTGATTTCATATCATTTCATTAATTTCCTCAAATATATTTAAAAACACATGAGATTGCTAAAAAGTAAGCTAAATTACAGTTCACTTTCTAAGATAGTATACAATAAAAAAACGGGGAAAAAATGTTTAGACAAAATCAGCTTTTTGATACAAAAATAGATGATTAATAAATAAAATATTTTCTAGATGCTTTTTACTTAGCTTATCTAGTAGGTTTATTTGATTCTGGGTTAAGTATACTTTCTTCCACATTCTATGAATTTTTTTTTTCAAACAAAAAATAAGAAATAAACAAATAGTCAAATTATGACAAGGATTAATAATATATTAATAAAAAAATAGCCTTTTGTTCAACTTTATAAGAAAGGGAATAGGCCCTCTATTTTCATCAACACAAATTCTGATGCACAAACCAGAATATAGAAATATTACCAAAATGCTATTCCAGCAACTAAAATAAGGATGGCAAAGTTAAAAAACATGTTGGAAATGGGTGTGGACAATCACTAATTTATTCATTTTTCATGGCCTATCATCTAAGAACCGTAATTTTATTTTGACATTTTAATTAGTGTGAGTCCCCAAAATACATGTCTGTCGAACATGATTGGAAGTAGTCGTGTTTGTGCTGAAATACTGTATAACTACCTTCAATGATTTTCAAATGAATTATTGAACAATTCAACAATGTTTGAAGCAATTATTAAATAACTTGATCAATATAAAATGCATTGCCTTGTTGGATTTCTTGCCATTGTTTCAGATCTGTCAAACATGATTGGCTGTAGGCCTGCTTGTGCTGAAATACTGCATTACTACCTTCACTGATTTTCAATTTAATTATTGAACAATTCAACAACGTTTGAAGCAAATTATTTAATAACCTGATCAATATAAAATGCATTGCCTTGGTGGATTTCTTGCCGTCGTTTCACATCTGTCGAACATGATTGGCTGTATGCCTGTTTGTGCTGAAATACTGCATTACTAGCTTTAATGATTTTCAATTTAATTATTGAACAATTAAACAACGTTTAAAGCAAATTATTTAATAACCTGATCAATATAAAACGCATTGCCTTGGTGGATTTCTCGCCGCTGTTTCAGATCTGTTTCTGTCGTATCTCTTGTAAGACTAATGTATTCGACCTCACGTTTAGTCAATTCCTGATGATGAACAAATGTATAGAGTATTATTATTAATATTATAACAATATATAATGATAACAAATATAAATAATAACACAAAATTATAATATACTAAATAATATGAGGAATAAAACTTCATATTAAATCCATAATTAATATCAATAACAACAGCAGCATCAACAACAGCAGCATCAACAACAACAACAATAATAGGAATTGTAGTGTAGTGTTTAATTGTCAAAAGGTCCACTGATTAATATCAGATAAGATAGTATAATACATACTCCAAGTATTGAAATACACGCCATCTACGGTGGAGAGACTAGTGTAATATCAACAAACAATTCTGTCAACTTTCACTACTGTACTACTAAGCAATTAATAGAGCTCCACATAGTACACTATAGGAAAATTATTATACAAAGGTTAGATTTAATGCTTGAAAAAAGGAAATTTTTGAATGCATCAAATCTAACCTAAGTATAATAATTTTCCATTTAATGTAGTGTATGATGCATGCTCTACTAATTGCTTCATAAGTCAATCGTCGCCTTTTAATTTTAGTTTTTTATTACCAAATGTAGCAGTCATCAGTTTCTACAGTGATATGATCAGTATACGAGTGCATATTTACATTTAGCTGTGCGTATGCTGATTTTTGCTCCTGCAGTACAGTATGGATACGATGAATAACTATTGTAATTTGTATTGTGTTAGAAAGAACTTGTTTGTAATGCTATTTTGATAGACTTCCGTCAAAGAAATAAACATTTCAGCATTTGGGAGAGAATAGTCACTGACATCCTTTTTGGTCGGTGCATGCAGACAGATAAAATCGTGCGATGGTTTCGTAACTAGGGTAGGCTACAGCCTAGTAGTAGTAGGAGGAGGCCTAGGCGGCCTCCCCTGGCCGTAGGCCTACATCTAAATCTGTTCCTTGAGTCTTTAAAATAGGTCTAGAATATTCCTATTAAACGTTCAGTTTGTTGTGTTTATGAGGGTCCATTGATTCAATGAATTCCTTAATTGTTCATACTTAATATTGAATTTGAAGTAACTTTCTACGGGTTCTAATTAAGCTTGTTTTACGAATAAAATTTCAATTACAATACAATTTTTATTATGAGGAATTTTTATTTGCACACGAACCTAAAAAAAATCAAGCCAAGCATCAACTAATTGAAAAATTAGTGGACTGTGGGTAATAGACAAATAACATTGGTAGTTGCAGTGATGACGTCACGATTGACTTATAATTAGTAATTAAAATTACAATGCTGGCTATGTCCTAAAAGATAGTAAACAAGCAAACAATACTTTTAAATCATAGACTTATCAAAAGTTTATTTAACAAAAACATGCAACAATGCCTAAATATGGTCATGATGACATCACATCATGGCCATATATAGGCCCTGAGCATCTTACATTAGATGGATATGTGCGCTATATAAAACTACATTATTATTATTATTATTATTATTATTATTATTATTATTGTATATGGGCATACAACAGTTTTTTGTCAAAGGAAATTTGATAGTCTGTACAGACCTTGATGATCATGTTTACCAAAGGTAAAGAATAGAAATGAAAAGATAAGGGTACCTGGAATGTACCAGCTGATATAGAGTGGATTGGGTATGATCCAAACATGATGGTATCTGGCAACACAGTCGTGAGTGATGTTATCCCATCCAGTTAAACAGTTTACTATATGAACATTGACAAGTTGTACCGCACGTTTTGTTTTCATTCGCATTGCATCCAATAGCAAGCAACTCACCAATTGCATATGGTTGATGCTTTTATACCACAAACGTTATGTTATTTATGCTTGAGTGATAAACTTTAATGCTGTAGGTAATCAAATTCATTTGACAATATACTTACCAAGTAACTCATTGCAATTGCCCTCCTCAAATGGCCAGGAGGCCCAATTAAAAACACATCCTGTCCAAGTAAATCCTATAAACAAAACAAATTCCATTCATAGAAAAAGCCTTTATATTAGAGAAAACGTGCATGTCGTTAGCCAGAGTAGCCTAGGTCAATACTAACTCCGGCTATATAAAATTGATTATAAGATTGAAAAATATTAATCTTATTATTGCAGTAGTGATACCATGTACACATTTTAATTATTGTTATTTATTTGTTAACGTTATTATATTTATATTTAAATTTAATGTATTGCTTAAGTATGAATTACTATGTCCATGTTAAATTAATCTTATCTATTAGAATTGCATATTTAAATAATATAGTAATAGGCATAGTCAAGGTCTAGCCTAGGCCTAAACAAATGACTATGTGAGTGTATAAAATTATGAAAAACATGAATAAAATGCAAAATTGTGAAAGAATAAAGGAAGGAGGAATACACACAAACACTGGAATACTGCATTTATTTGTCACGTAAAATTTTATAAGTATGGAGAGAGCTTTATCCTGCCTAACTCTCATGAGCTGAGTGATCAGACGCCAATAAAAAAACAACAATAGCCAGGCTCTTCAGAGCAACAGGCAGTCAGTCAACATGTACTGTACTGGTCAGTCAAATAAAATAATGTACAGCACAGTTTGGCGGAATGTGGCCCCACGTTGATTCTTTTTGCGGCCCACGAAAATGAATTAAAAACCCTACGTGTGCGGCCCGCCACACATTTCTGACTAGAAAACACCTTGTTTTTTATGGCCCGACACCGTTCATCTGTAAAAAGTAATGTTAAAACTGAGAATAAAGTGGTATAAAAGTAGAGCATGAAGGTTTTTGGAAGCACACCGAAACATCAAAGTTTGGGTGCGGCCCTCTGTGTTAAATTAAAAATTCAATTTGGCCCTCCAACCTGTATTTATGCCAACTCTTGCTGTACTGTAACCATAAAGGTGAAAATTGCTATTCATTGCAAAACTGACATCAAAATGTTTTGTTGCATTGTGTATAACTAAAAGGTATTTAAATACTCTATGAAATAAGAAATAATTAAAACAAGAAATATTGTGTATTTAGCATATTTTTTTTATATCTAATATGTTTTGCAAAAAGGGCTAAAATAATAACAGTCTTTAAGGATCATTCCACAGTATTTGGTGACAGGTCCATGAAGTAAATTTTCATTTTCAATTATTAATATAAATTTTGGATACATCAATTGATGTTTGGTTAAATTTTGTTATTTACATTTACATCAAAATTCATAATTGTCCCATCTGTACCATTTGACAAGGTTGTTTTACATTCATTTGAAAAGTAATGAGTGAAAAACTTAATATTTAATTTTCTCCTACAACAGACTATAACTTGATATATAAGTTTTTGTTTAACCTGCCTAAAATAGTATACTTCAAAAATATTTGGTAATGGACTGGACATTTTTAAGGATGGGACACACAATAATAAACCACAATTTTCTTTGGTACTGCATACAGTAACCAAGGTAGCAAAGCAAGTAAAACCTCCTTATTTTGAATTTGAGTGTGTAAAAACTTTTTATCAATAAACAATGAAAAAACAGAAATAAACATGAATTATGGAAACAATGGCTTTTTTGACAATGTTTACTGTGCTACAGTGTACAGTATTAATATTAGTGGTAATTTTTATAGGGAGAATTAAAATTATGATGGTAATGGTTGGCAATTTATATAGCACATAATATGTGGTCTCTACGTGCTGTACAGAAAAAACAAGCAAAATATATTTGAATACTAGGTCAACTAAGCAATCGAAACCGATTAGAGTTAAAGTTAAAAACAATCACGCATTTTCTTAATTTGATGAGCACCCTATTTATTAAAATCATGTTTTAGCACTTTCAATGTACTATTTGTTAATTACATTTAAGTGCATATATAGTAATTAAAGATAAAGGGGCTTAAGTTCCCCACCAGACAGGTCAAGGCCCCCCCCCCCCACCAATTGGACAGAGCTCCTCGGGCAGTCAGAGTAAAAAAGATACAGTATAAAAATAGGCCCACACCACGCTAACACATGTCTGTCACAGTCTCACAGTGTCATTTCTGGCCGTCCAGAGGTTCCTATTCTCATTTGGGTGGGGGAACCCCCTCTTAAACCCTTCCCCTAGCCCAGGCCTACAAACTCAAGTCCCCCTGTCGGACAGCTCAGTCCCCCAGCAAATATATCCTAGAGCTGCCACTGCTCTTTTCAAAGGATGTACTGATTCTTTGAAGTACACACAACTTCAATCCAATTGTGTTCACTGGGCCTACGGTTTAGAGTCCTTATCTGAGAAGACTTTGGTCTAGCATATGAAACCCAGGGTGAGGAGTGATATTGCCAATGATATTATTAAGGCTACAGGTAACATAATTATTATACACCACATATTATGTAATTGATACATTTACCTTTTGCATTATCCATCGGAGATGTTGTAACACTGACTGTGGTAGACTGTTTCCAACTAAAAATGAAAAACAAATTTTTAAACATAATGATATTAACAATGATAATTAAAATAGGTCATATTACTATATAACAACAATGCTAATTAAATAAAATAAAATAAATAAATGAATATTCATGAATTTATAATATTCAAAAATAATCAATAAAATTGATGCATTTTGTAGTATTTTGCTTTGACAACAGTTTTGATGAAATAACTGCAAGACATAAATATATTGACTTAAAGCCCAATCAGACTATAATAGTTACGTTGGCTCAGGGCCAACTTTTTTCAAGCGTGATCAATCAATAAATTTTAAGCTGGCCCAGAGTCGACCTAAATTTAGTCTGACTTTAAAGTCGGCTCAAGTCCCACAATGTGAGAACTGGGCCGATTCACCTTCATACTGTATCTGAACGTAAACCAAACCTGGGTCACCAAGACCACTTTGATAGCGGTCAATTTTGATATCTATACCATAAAATTTCACACAAAAACCCTGGCACAAAAGAGGAATTGTAAACATTCGCAGTGCAACCCTGAGCAGACTTCTAACCACCAACGGAACAGTTGTTTTGAGCCGACTGTAGTTAAGGCAGCCCTGGGCCGACATAATAAGTGTGAATGGGCACTTATTTACCATATTTAATCGGAACCAACTCTGGATGTTCTGGGTCTTTTACTGCCCTGCTTACACCACCAATAGTGATTCTTGAATCTGTGATAAAACAAGGTATTAAAACTAATTATATGATTTAATTTCTCAATTCTCGATACCGCCACAACTAAGCATAAATTAATACCACAAAAAATTAATATTTTATTTATTTTTTACAATATAATTAACCAACAAAAAAGGTGATGTTTTAAATTTCTTTCACTTTTTAATACATCATGTAAGATTTTCTTTGGTCACAAATCAAATAGCCTGGACTCTTTAAAGGCATTTTTATATAAATATAAGATATGAAATTTTGCATTGAATTTAAGGTCGATTTAAGATCCCAATGTGTGTTTGTTGTCATTGATCTCTAGATTTGATAGAAAAAAAAAACTATAAAATAATGGAAAATAATAAATTTCACATACTGTAGAATTAGAAGCTCTAAGTGAAATTAACCATGTTTCCTTGGCTTAAAAAACATTGAAATCAACACCACAATTTTTACTGTACTGTACTATTATTAATATTGCTTTCTAAAATTTAGAGTATTCTTTTCAAATTAACAAATTTTGTGTAGTTTATTTCATTTGGGAATTGAAGGAAATGGCATGGAATTTCATTTGGTTAGGTAGCCTAGGCTTTTTTAGTATAGTCAGAGCATGCAAAACTAAAAACTATTTTTTGAACGTAGAAAAGATCTCTTTAAACAAAAAGAATAAGGAAAACTATTAAATTAAACCCATTAAAAAATATTTCATTTACCGAAGAAAAAAAAAATTTTAATACACACAAAAATAGCCAAAATTTGTCAAACGTATTAAACATTGTATTTTATAAAAGATCTCTTTTTCTTTCATAAAAAAATAAACAAATAAAAATGATACGAAGAGGGTAAAGTATTAAATTAAGTTTATTTATTTATCCGGTAGGAGATAAATTAGTGAGGAGATCTCACTCCAACCCCAACCTATGAAGGATAGGCTGCTACTGTAGCTTGGTAAAAGTTTTTAGGTGGCAGAATTCTGTAAACACTTTTTTGTTAAATTAAACCTAAAGTATGAAAATACAATAGATTTCATTTACAGAAAAAAAAAGTATCGACCATAATAATAAGAAAATACAGCCAAACAAATGTTGTCGATATATTTGACTATTAATTCAGTAGCATTAACACGAACACTGTACATAAGTCAAAGGCTTGCTTTCAACTATGCTGAGCCTAGAGATCCGAGGCTAGCTAGGAATTTCAGGAGGATCCGGCACAATTTTAGCTAGGCCTAGTCCTGAGCCTTCGCCGCCTAGAGGACATAGGCCCTGAGCCAACCTACCAACCTGTGTGACATAATGCTATCGTCGAAGGTGGACAACGATTCGACGACAAAACTAACTGTAAATGTCGAAGGCGCCTAATAGAATTTTCAATAGCACTCATTCTTAATATAACGCAAGACATCTGATTTATAATTTGCACGTAATTTATAAGAACTTCATAAACTCTAGGCCCAGGCCTATTTCTACTTTGTTGGACGTTGTTATCCCGCATGCGGTGCTAGCTAGCTAGCTAGTAGCCAGCTCGCGATTTTTTTTTCCGTACGAAACATTTACATGAAACTCCACTCGGGCCGTCTCGGCTGAATCGACCCGAAAATCTCCTTGCAGATTCAGGAGGTCAAAAGGTCATCAACAGATAAACGTCTACAAAACAACTTCTGAGAGAACGTCGCTGTCAAATTCTTAAAAATACATTGATGTTACCATGGGTCGTTTAAAATGACATATACTATTTGATTACGCTGCACGAGTAATAAAAAATGTTATTTTAACTTGAGTTACATACTATGACAATTTGAATTTTTTAGTTAGGCCTGGGTTTTGCATAATTACCTAGGCCTACAAGTACTAAAAACGCTTTCTGGGAAAAGCACAAAGAGTAAGGAAAAGCGCGTTTTTCTTCATCACTGATCAAATGAAACAGGGTGACAGTTATTTTCAAATTAAGAGAAGAGCTGAGAATAGGTGCGCAGCTCTAAAATACTGGATGCCATAAGATGACCTGCCAAAATGGCAGAGCACCAAATGAATGTAAAATTGAACTAGTTATTAATATTAGGCATAGTAATCGGCATGCAGGTCCTTGATTACAAGGCTAGACCAATTACATGTAATGTCGAAATGATTATTATTTTATTATTATTATTATTAATTATTATTATTAATTATTATTGCCTGTACGTTAAGGGGAACTTAGACAATGGAGGAATTAGAGAACAATTTAACGAGTCGACGTTAAGGGGAAATAACAGAAGATATTCCCCTTGGGCTAGTTATTATTTATAGGCCTAGTATCTGTAGGTTCTTCATTACAAGCCTTAGGCCAAGGTAATTATTGCTGAAATTTATTATTATTATTATTATTACCTGTACCTTAGGGGAACTTAGACAATGGAGGAATTAGAGACTCAATTAAAAAAACGACGTTAAGTGGAAATAACACAAAAGATATTCCCCTTGGGCGATTATTATTTATAGGCCTATTAAATAGTACGGTAT